TTTCCCTAGATGGGCATATTTCATTGTCCATCGTATATGCGCGGTGTAACGTTTGAGATCTTGTATGCAACGAACGAGCCGATGTTGGGGAACGACGATGTTAGTTGGCCGAAAACCTAATCACCGACGGATCGCCAGCCACGCGGGCATCTCTCGAAACGAGTCGGCGGGCAAAAGCAGGGTTCAAGGTTCATGAACTTGGCACGACGACCGTCGCGACGGCTCTTATGAGCGTGGCGCGGCCACGACAGAGGAGAGAGAGAGAGCCCCTCTCGCGGCTCTCTCTTTCCCTGGACCTCTCCTCCCCTCGTGGCCCTCTCGACCACGTGAACGAAATTCCTCTTCAACAAGAACGAGTGAAGGATCTTCGAAAAAAACATTCCGATGCGCGATGCTGCCGATTGCATCTACGGTGCATCGTCGGACCGTACGTAACGCGACGTCAACCATTGCACAAATGACCGTGCTATTTGTCTTTTTCAAAGATAATGATGAAAGAGGCTCAGTTTGAAATCTCGACGATTTGTCTTAATCTTTTGCGGCCGAGAAATTATTTCAAGCCAAATATCTGAAAATTAGCAGATCCGAGAAAAGTGTAGTTTCCACTATACATGTATATATTATTATAATGAGTAGCCACTGACACTAGGGTCAGAACATCTGGAAATTCGCGGAATCGAAGAACCTTAATACAGCATGTGGTTCAACAGTAGTCGCCTCTCCGCTGTATCTAGGAGAATTGACAGTCAGTACATACGAATGCAAACCGCATACGATAGCACCCGGTGTTGTCAGTCTCGCGAATTTGCGCGCTGTCCGGAAGGCGTGATCGAGGAAGTTGAGAACAAAACGCGTTTCGTCTGCCAGAAGTGTCTGTGAGTATCGTGGGATAGAGAGAGGAAGGAGGGAAGAAGATATCTTGAAAGAAAGAGAAAACGACACGTAGGACTGCAGTGAGAGAGAAAGAGAGAGAGAGGGAGAGGGAGAGAAACACGTGATGCGTGGAGCGAGAAGGAAGAAAGAAGCGGTCAAGACGATCAGAATTGGTGGCGAACCCTCTGATAGGGGCACAAGGTGCACGTTTTAAGCCCCATGCTGTAGAAGCTCCGTGCTTATTATATGTATAGAATGGATCGGATAAATTGCCGAGAATTAACAGATCACTATCCGTAAAAAATTTTTAATTATAAGATTTATGATTCTCGTAAACACGTGTGATATTTTTATATTTTTTTCTAAGTACGTTTTTTTTTATTCATAATTACATCGTATGTATTTTCCGTTCCATTATTAATTACAGCGACTGTAAAGGAACGCGATATATCGATTTTCATTTAACGGCGAGGATCCACGCGGATTTCCTTCGCGACCGCAATCTTTCGCGCTTTAGGGTTCCACGTATGCTAAATCCGCTACTGATCGGGGGGATCTCGAGGGGTCCCACCGTCGATCTCGCTGCACCGTCGTCTCATGCGGATCCGTATACTCCTCACGGTGCACCGGTGCGCACCCTTTATACTTTATTTTGCCTCCGCGAAATACCGGCTGACAGTTACTCCCTCGAACGAAATAAAAGATACCTCTTTCCCTCCTCCCTTTCCCTTCTCTCCCTCTCTCTCTTTCTCTTTCTCTTGGTCTCGCGGAAGAGAATCGCGCGCAGCGGCTCCGGGGAAGTTCCTGCCACTTGGCCTACTACTCCACTCCGCTCTCTTCGCTCGCGGACGAGCTACCGGGGCTTTTCTTTTTACGCGAGCCACTTCCTGCTCTCCGCGAACTTTGTTTTTCTTTCTTGTCCCTCCCCCGCGCCCTCCGTCCACGCTTCCCCTCGCGGTTCTTCCGTAGCTTCTTTCTTTCTTTTCCCCTTTTCTTGTTGCTCCACCCCGGGACCCAGTCACGGGGGATTATGCAACACATAACGGAGAAATCTAAACAAGCACGACGAAATTTACCGAGATCAGACTGCCCGGACTCGCGCGTCCGTCGGTCCGCTCTTTTTGGAACGTCGTCTCTCGTACGCATTGCTCTTGGATCGTTTAGCCGAAGAACATCAATCCGCGGTGAATCCTGACTCGTTGATATTAGACTGATACTAAAGATTATTATTTTACTAAGTTTCGTTAAGTTTTAGAACATTAATCTGATCTTTAAGTTTTAAAATATTGATCTGATCTTTTTCTCAAAAAAAAAAAAGTGAGAAATTTTCTTCTATACGGAAAAAATATGATCTCTGATTCTTGATGAAGAATATGTGTTTGGTGTTCTAATTTTGGAACAACAAAATTTGTGGAAATGGAAACTTTCGAAGAATAGCAATAAATGTTTGTTGAAGAGATAAAAATTAAGAATCGGTCCAAGAGAGCTATAGAATAAAGGATAAGAGCAGCGCGCGCGTTACCGTACGTCGCGTTATCACCAACAACTTGGCGATTGTCGGGCAATCTATGTAATCTGCATCTTGGTGAGATGCTGTGTGCGTGAGGCGGCGATTACTACCGTCTGGCTGTTATTACGAGTCGGCGGGACGGGACGGGCCGGGCAACGCCGAAGGACTGCTATGCAAAGGACTCTCTCGCTGGCGGCGGCGTTTGCATACTAGTAGATTAGTTCGCTAGGTCGCTGTAGTTTCGTCGTCTCACCCAATTCCGGACGGGATGAATAAACCAACAGCAACAGGTTAATCGCTCGCCCGGCGAAACGCGCCGCAAACGTTAATCGTTTTATTACTCCCCGTTACGCGCGTTTTACCGTATCTCGAAGTTCGCGGCGCGGGACGACGCGAAAATTGACACCGCGACGCATCGCGCCCGCCGGCGCGCTATTATTTTAATCGAGCGGCCCGCCAGTTCCTTTGTCGTGCACCGCCGGGGCCGCTTGTTGTTTGTCAGAGCGTAAACAATTGGCGCATTGTATCCGGGACGCGCGCGTTATTCGCAACATTATTGCAAATTTAACGCGACGTTTATTGGTTTCGTTGTAATTCGACGCGGACATATGTATACGCGATTCCGCGATCGACGACGTGTCTGACAACTCGTTGTCTCTTGGATTTAATAATTGTCCCGACACGCATCCATCGTTCGTGGAAAAACGCTTCGGTGACAGTTTGACGAATTGATCTGTGGATTCGTATCGCAGATTCCCGATCACTGGAGCCTGCAGTCAAAGAACCGAACGTAACAGCGGAATATAAATTGAAAGAATTAAATTTAAATTAATTTTTTTAATTCTTTAAGGTCGAGATTTAGACGAATTTTATCATAATTGCATTTATTCATTTAACTCTACTAATTGCGTTACATTAAGTCATCATTATGTACTATTATTTTCTACCGCGAGGCGAGAGAGAAATCCTTTCGATTTATTCAATTTTTTTTTTTCAAAAGTACGATAATTCGACACTTCGATGTTACAAAAGATTGCCATAGTGCGGCTGACGATGTGCAAGTGGACCACCACTGTGCTTTGTTTTTTGCAGAGTACGCCGGCGTCGCGCATTTGTGCATCGAAGCCTGTCCAACTGTTTACCTGTTTAAAAACGTATCCCTTTTTTATTTTTTATTTTTTTTAAATCGTAGTAGCTACCTGCTACGCCAATGAAACACTCGCCGACCTTCGAATCGGAGTCTGACCGTTTTTGTGTATCGTGCCGGTAGCCCGAGGAGGGGCTGCCTCCTCAAGGAGTGGAAATAAACTTGCGAGAGGAGGTGCAGGACCCCTATAAGAAAGGCTGGAGGGGAGATAGGTAGCAGAGCGAGAGAGTAGTCAGGAAGGAGATGCAAGATGTGGTAGGAGAGTAACGACGTACTACAGAGTGATTCATAAGTTTGCTTGGATAGGCAATGTCTTTGGTTAGCTGAACTGTAAAAATGTAAAAGCGAACACGCAGCCGGGATGTTATTTTTGTTAAAAGATAAATGTTTCTTTAAAACTCATCCTCGCGTCACGACGAAGGTATACGGATCGGTATTCCGAGAGTATGTACATTTACCATGATTGGTGCACATTCTGCACATTACATATGTATATATTTCTTTGTGATACTCTTCGATTTGTCATTGATTCGATTACGATGACGCCAGCGCCTTTCGAAATTATGAAAATTAATTAATTCGATAATTATACGTATACGATAATCGAGCGTTAACGACACATGCATCATATAGGTGCAAACAAAATGAATTATCACACTGAGAGCGAAAATCAAAGCTCGCCTTGTGCCGTCTTCCTTTTAAAAGTTTCACATAAAGTAAATTCACGACTGTTTACTTGTTGAATTTCTTCGTGTAAGGCGGGCTCGTGACTCTTTAAAATATCTTTAATATCCGTCTCGAGATTTTGAGTTACTTTACTTTCGATGAAATAGGAGATTCCCTATCCTTTCATGTTTTATTTCATTTTTTATATATTTCTTTTTTACGAATTTATATAAACGATTCTCGTAACTCGTAACATACAAAAAAAAAACGCTCGTTTGGTATACGCAGAGTTAGATACGACGTAGATAATTTTGTAATGATTACAGAGAGTATATGTGCGACAAAGAAATGTGATCGATCGATTAATACGTAGCGGTGTGCCATAAGATCTCACGAACGTTATACCTGTTCGACCCGCGCAACTCGCGGAGTCGGTGCGCAGAAAAATTCCGGACGAGCGACAATTAACAAGCAAAAAGTGAAATCTCACCACGTCCAATTCGCATAGGTGAAAACGAGCTGACGTGTCACGGCAATCAAATATCTATATATACGTACATTCAGGAAACTTAACGACGCCAAGCGGAAATTACGTGGAAAGGGTCGCGGTAAAATTTTCTTTACGTTCGAAATATCGCTACAATTATTACACACAGGTATACATATATATATATATATAAATATACATATTAATATATAATAGATTATCGCACAGGTGCTCCGAACATTGCAGGCATCTTCCACGCTCTACCGAAGAATACGTAATTCAGTGTGACTTATAGAGAGAGAATATGAATAATAATAATGATATAATAATAATATTAATAATAATATTATAATAATAACAGTAATAATATTTACATTTTAATGACCGTTTTCAAGTCGTTCCGACGTATCGATAAGACAATGCAAAGAAGTGACAATCCCAAAAGATGGTTTTCGAACAAGCCGGAAACAATTTTATCGATAAGATAACAGCGCGGTAACTTTAGTTCTGCACTTTACCTCAATTGATTTAAATATCTTCCTTCGCATTTTCGTCAAGCGCGAAGACGCATTGGAGATTATAATGTGTGTATGTCGTGTTATCGGAAACTAAGAGTTTTTTTAATCCGGTTTTTTTTACATCCTTCCTTTTAATCTTCTTTCTGATTGCAAATGCGATTGTAACATTTAAACTTTTGTAACTCGTGCAAAAAATTAATATATTTCAAATGACTCGCTTCCACTTTATACAGTAGGTACATTGAGTGAGCGAGAAGAAAAGGATTAGATCCACGCGAGCTGACAATGAGTGCAGATCAAATCTGATTCTCTAATGATCTAAATTCTAATCGAATATTCAGGTGATTTTCTTGTCGAACGTGTTATATTCTTACGTTGCCGCTTTGGTTCTTCTCCGCGAACACACAACACACCGCGAAGTAGAAGCTTCAGCTCACTGTTTCCGAACTGATCTTAAATCGGTCTTTAATGCGGATTGCTCGACTTTTCGACACGCCACAATGTTTTTCATCCTTTCTCGATAAGACGGTTTCCCTCGTGAGATTGCACGCGTTACACGACAACGTGTCACTTAATCAAAATGTTATACGTATTATTATACATACTAGTAAGCAATTTGCCGGACGGGAGCGGACGCGCTTGTACCACACATCGACTGATTAGAATTTCGTTCGACTGTCCATGCGAGCGCAAGCGAGAACTCTTTCCCAGCTTTACGTTGCATTTACCGGATGCTGGATGACGGTTTCCGTATCTCGTGACTGTGCATTGGGAGAGACAGTGGTGCGTTAAGTGCGCGAGAACAAATGTTTATACTATATATAATAAATATATGCGCTACGAGAGAAGAGATAGAGAGAGCGAGAGAGAGAGAGAGAGAGAGAAAAAAAAGAGGCGGTAAAGTATTGGGACACACGTGCGATAGTCGGGAATATTTAATTACGTGACGTTATTATTATACTATTTTCATATGCCGGATAAATCAAAACGGAGAGATCCGCTCGTCCAGTGGTGTTATTCCGTGACTTTATCAATCGAAATTACATAATCAACATCAGCGGCGGCGGTACATTGACGTACGTGTGTCGCAATATTACGTGTATCGCTCTCGTGCGCGTTTCTCGGTATACGGTAAATGATTAAACAAATGGGAATCACTAGTAGGTGGTGTGTGCGTGTGTATGTGTGTGTGTATAGAGGACCACGGGTTCCTTAATTTTACAATTCTTGAGAGAGAGAGAGAGAGAGAAACAGAAAAAGAGAGAAGACATGAATGCTCGTCAAAGAATAATTAGTAATAACAAACGATAATTCACATTGCGTATCTCTCGTTGCGCGCCTAGTAGACTGCAAGTAGTAGTCATTCGAAAGTCCGTACGTCGTGTTTTGGGGACACGAGCAGGAAGTGTATAGTGTTTAATTGCAAGAAGTCCATGTATCGACGGGAGCTTTTGCATCGCTTTCCGGACAATTACTTTTGTGATTTATTCGTAATCGAAGGAGCATTCAAGGTAGGTGCACCCGAAGAGATTAACAGCCCCGCAAAGAAAAATTGAATTAAAAGAAACTGATAGTGTTGGACGATGAGTGTAGCATAGCTATTACAAGCAAGTTGGGAAAAATAATAATCTTTTTAATTCCTTCTGTATGGAACGAAGCATAACGATATAATAAAGTGCCCGATGTGGAATGTGGAGGAATTTACTCTAATAAAAGAATTTAAGTCGCTAAATTCCATCTGAAGGATTAAAATGAACGAAGAAAATTGATAAATTTTTAAACTTATCTCTGACAACTTTTGTAGAATGAGTCAGTCTCTTTGAATTTCTTCTTCTTGCGGGGAGATCGATTTAAAAATCGACGGCACAAATGACCGAAAATTGAGTAATCGGGAGAAGCCATCTTTTTCGCTCCTCGATAATTATATGAGTAATTGTCTTTTGTTTGACAGAAAAGCGGTGCGAAGGTCGGTCGCGTTGTACTCAGATATACTCCGCATACCTTGTTATTCAGCAGCAGTTGAACAGATGAATATGATTTATTGCAGAGAGCCGTAATACCACAAGTGAAACCGTTCTAAGTATATTTGTTATACACACATATTGTTACCATTGCCACATGAAAGCAATTATTAACTCCATAGCCTGGGCCATTGTTAGACGAACGAGAACTCGGGACTGTTTCTTGAAGTAGGATTGCAACCAGGATTACTTTTTTAATATCACCGTAAAGTTCGCGTTTAAGACTATTGCACTTTTTATAAAATGTAATAACTATTGTTTGGAGGATAATTAAAAGAGATTCAAGGATCTCTGAGACACTGGAAATAAACAGTTCTTTCTCGCCAATTTTAATAATCAGAATTTTAACTTTAACGTTATTCTTTCCACATAACGTGCCATGTTTTAATTTTCTTGATTATCGAGAATAATTTCCGGGGTGATTTTGGAATAATTTCACTTTTCCACAATCCTGTTCCATATCTATATCTCTTCTATTGTTCTTTTTTTTTGTATGGCGCACGCAATCCTACGTCGAGGAAGAAAAAAGTTATAAGAAAGTGTGAGACAAGTTATCGTAATAGTCGCCGATTACTCCGTAACAATGGCAATGCCCATACGTATGAAGTCTGTAATCGAAATGCTTTATATTTTTACACCGAACAAAGCAGTATATAACGTACAATAAAACAATAAAACATGTCCTTCCATACATGCAACCTCAAGATGACAAATGTTAAATTTTTATTTTTACAACAGCCCACTATCACTTCCGATATCTGAGCTATATTTGGGCGTATAATTATAGTTGAGACTATTAATTAGGATATTAAAGTCGGCTAGATTCATTTTAATCGACTCACAATTTTACGATTTCTACACGAATGATCGTCTACTGTAATATACGCATTATACGATACGTATACAACATATGTTAGTGATATTATACCGTGCGACGACGCGTTTTATGATCGTTAATAATCCGCAAGAAAAAAAAGGAAGGTCTCGAAACTGTTAATTTCTTCTCCGAAATTGTGAAAACGAGCTGGCATGTCCAAACAAATAGTTAGCGTTCCATTTCGTCCGTTGTCGCAGCGTCCGATTGTACATTGACGCCAATTAATTCCGGCTATCCGCATTTTATGCCGTTTCGAAGCGAAGAAATCAAAAGAATGGGAGAAGAAGCAGATAGTACCAAAAGCGAATTGCAAACGCCGATGCGTTTAACTTTACAACCGGCACACATATTGTACATATGTATTTATTAAAACTGATAGATATACGAATTCTCACACACTGCAGACAAACAAACACACGTATACACTTACGCAAAGGTTTCCACCGTGCCGAATACTGTGTGTATTAAATATTTTTCTCTCCGACATTATCTTCTGGGCTATTCGTATGCGGGGAAAAAAAAAGAAGAACATTGACGTGATTCCGCGAGTACGCGACAGCCTTCGATGTTATTGTTCCGTGTAATGGATTTCGGATAGAGTCGCGAATCGTTTCTCCGAGTAATCTCTGAATAGAGATCGCGAGTTCGACGTGAACAAACGGGAACCACGTGGACGGAACACGATCGTGATAGTCGCGCGACTTTATACGCGCGCATGTTCGAACAGATCCTCGCGAAATTCAATCAAGCGTGCAAAATCGAAAGTCGCCTGTCTAATTTCTGTCGATGAAACCAATAATCCCGGCAAATCTGCCGAGAGACAAAAGTTAACCAGTATCAGGTCGTTACGTGGCAAACATTTGCGTATATACATGTCGTTCCATCAGCAACGTCATCATTGTTATCATCTGATCGACCGACTTACAGTGTGCCGTCGAGGTTTCTCATCGACGGCACACTGTACGGTTTTTTATTATAGTCGCCGTCAAATTTAATTTTAACATTATTATTTTTCTGTACAGGTTGTGTCGGAAGTCCCGCGATCTCTTTACGAAACTCCCCGAATCTGAATATAAAGTTTTATAAAATTATATTGAAAAATTTTATTGACGTTATGAATTAAGAAGTTTTTCGGACCAATATAAGTAAATTATAACATCTTATGCTTCACGATTATAGTGAATTGCGTTTTATCGGTATAATCTCAGGCAATCTGAAGCACGTCTACAGATTGAGAACATAAAAGGTTCCGGTCAATTGATAGAAAATCTTGGAAGAGAAATGCGCGCGACTTTTGATACGGCCTTAGACATATGTGTTTAACATTGTAAGGCAAACACACGAACAAATCAAATAAAATCTACATTTCGTTTTTTTTTTTCTTAGAGCGCCTCTAATAATAAAAAGACAGCCGTACTTACTTGTACGCGAAAGTATACGTATCCGAAAGAAGGGAACTTTGGTATCCTCGATTCGCCAAATCGCGACGGAATTTTCTTCAAGCGCGGAGCGGGACGTCGCCAAATTGGGACATTGCCTTTTGATAAGAATGGGAGGATTCGATATCGAATCTACGAAACGCGGAAGAACGTGAAGGGAAACAGGGCTAATATGTGACGCGTCGAGTCGAGCCTGAAATTAATAATCAAAATTGAACGACTGTTTGCGAAACACTTGTGATTAACTATTTTATAAAACCGACCCACGGTACGTCCTTAGGTATATTATGTAACAAAATGTAGAAAAAAAAAGAGAAATAAATCGAGGAAAATTCCCTTGTGAGAGAGCACGAATATAAAATAAAAAACTTTTTGAATATTATCATCTGTTTTCATCACACTCTCATCTGAATAATCAAAAAAAAGAGAGAGAGAGAGAGAAGATAAAAAGAAAACGCGAAGACAGTCTTTTTCGTTTCGATGTTTATCGTTACTCATTTTACGCGCGTCGAATCGTTGGGACTGTGTTCGTAATGTTATTAGCCGTTATTAGAAGTTTCTCGATCATTAGAAGCCGTCAAAAGAGAGAAAGAAAAAAAAAAGAAATTGAAAGTTTGCAGAAGAAAAGGTACATACCACACGCTTACTGGAAAACACGAATATAAAATGTATTTCAAGACGTCTTCATGCAAAGCTGATGAATGTTTTACGTGTATTAAAATGTTCCCTTTTAATCCTATTAAGACTTACAAAATATTATAAGTATTATACTTTACTTGTATATATACATATGTGATAAAAAAATATATATATATCTATATATATACACATCTTGTTCTCTTGTGTGCGTAAAATTTATATTCGTGACCTGTTCTCCGTAAAGCAAATGTATATGTTGAAACAATTATATGCATAGTTAATTCATAATAATACAGGTTATATGTCAAAATCTTCATGCCGTGAAAACTACAAGCAAATTTGCAAATAAAAGTTTTATATATTTACAGAAAAAAATATTTTTGACTGTCTATTTTTAAAATTTGGGTTTCACAATCTTACTGAATTTATGTCTTAGCGTGTTAAACAATATAAAATAAAACTTACAATATTTGTGTAAAATATATATTACACTTTTATTTTAATAGGAATGTATGTGTAAATTACATTTTTAACATGTCAACATCTTTAAAATATCGTGATTTTCAAGTAATAATTTTATGTGTACCGCGCTAGCTTTCGTAGGTTTTACTATTCAATTAAAATGTGCATTATGAGAGTTTATCACAGTTTTGTAACAAGATAAAAATGTATACTCAGTCAATTGTGTGTGGGAATTATACCAATAATTCCTATAGGGAATGCGATTTGAAAATTCAGCCGTCATTTAAGCATATAATTTCTTAAACATCGTTCGAGGGTACGATGTCCAAGTTGGAGGTCGTACTAATGCTAGGTAAACTACTGTCGCTCCAATCAGGACCTGGACAATCTCGTAATGGACTAGGTACATTAACAGGTTTCCTATTTTGCATATCGCCTTGCTTTCTTATGTCAGAAACTGTTGATTTGGCAGATGTAATGCTTTCAAGAATCTGTGATGCACTAAGAAACAAGTTTTTGGTATTATCATTTTGGTTTTCCTTAAGTCCTGTAAAATTTCTCATCTTGTATATGTTATTTTCTTTATTGTGACCCTTTTTTGAGGAATGATGCAGGGATTTTTTCACGGTCACATCGTTTGTGTTCATACTTTGGTAAAGAACAGTATTATTTCCATTATTATTTTTCATCACTGTTCCTTTATCGTTCGTAACTGTTGATAATAAATAATAAATATTAATTAAAAACTGCATTAAGGCGATTGAATTAATAGTAATTACGTGCTGTAAACTCAACCGGACTTACCTTCATTTTGATCCGGCAATAGAGTATGTGACGATTCTCCATCAGGTAAGCTAACGAGTTCAAAATCTCTAACGGGTGCATCTTCTCTTAGAGCATGTTCTTGAGGAAAGGAATTTACTGAAGAAATGTCTGCTGATAGTTCTAAATCATGCCAGGATTTATTAGAGTCATCAGAAAAGCTTGAGGTAGGAGACGAACATGCGTGCCCTGTTTTGATGAACGATATTTGAGGACTTGCATTTTCTACTTTCGCATATATTTCATTTATGATTTTTATTTGTTCTGCAATCTGATTTTGTAATTCTCTGTAATATAAATTGATTATATATATATACACATATATAAATTGTGCAATTTGTATACTATTCATAATTATGCACCGGATCAGTAAATTTTATAAAATATATACATACTAATAGAGTATACTAACTGTATTGTATTTCGATAATCAATAATTTGTGTATCTTTATAAGAAGATAACGCTGAAAGTTTATCTATTTCCATTGTTAAACATTTGTTATCAATGTCATTTTTTTCTGCAAATTCTGTTCGCTTATTTAAATCTGTCCTTAAATCTGTAATTAGTTTTTCATTATTTAAAATTTGTTGCTTTAGCCTTGATATTGTCTCGTTTTTTTCATCCAATTGTTGGGTAAACATATTTACATGAAACGTCAACTTTGCGTTTTTTCGATTAACTTCCTGTAATCGTTCCTCTTGCTTTAGAATTTCACTGATTTCAAATAAAAAATGAAAATTAGTATAATAAAATATAAATTAATATTTATTTTTTTCGTTTCTTATTATATTTACATCGCATCAAACCTTTTCAATTTTTCTTGTTCTAATACGAGCGATTCATATGTTGTAACCTTCTTTTTATTAGATTCTTTTAATGGAACTGTACTGGATTCTACTCTGGTTTCTAGATCCTGTAAAAATAAATAACAATGTAATAAATTCATTCAACGATGATATAAAAAAAAAGTACAAAAATGAAACAATTAAAACTTATACAATGTGAAATAAAATATATGTGCCTAAATTACAGATAGATATCTCAGGTAATACCTAAGATTATGTGATTTTATAAACCTTACCGGTATCTTTGGCAATATTTGTTCCATTTCAGTAAAGATTTCGCAGATTCTTTTATCCTTCTTATTAACCAAATCTTTTAACTGTTTTATTAAGTGTAACATACGTATTAGATTAAATTCATCAAGTTCATTGAGATATGTTTCGGATTGTACAGCACGATCCTGAACAAGGATTGATCCTGAACTGCAGCACGGCGTTGTTGAATGCTCTGACTTCTAGAAAGATATTTTTTGTATAAAATTATATATTAAATAGCATATTAAATATAAGAAATATTTAAATAAGGAGCATATATATAAGACTCACACGATGTTTGATTGGAATACTTTTCTGTTGTCTCTTAGCATTTGTATCCTTTTTAGCTTCTCTATGTTCATTGCGTTTAGGAGACTGATCTTTTGTCATACATAATAAATTCTGCTGTCTAAAGACATTACCCCAGTTTTGCGGAGTTTCACTGTTATTAGTTGTAGATCTTTTCTTCTCAGTTTTCTGTTTAGGGCTAAGACTCGCTGCAGGCGAAGTACGTTTCTGACCTTTATTTCTTATCAATGTAATTTCTATCATTTGATCTCCAAATGATTCCTTCAAAACTTTTTTAGTAGGAGTCATCGTGGCGCACTGAAAATGATAATTCATTCAAATGTAACGCAAAAATTATCATGGAATGGCATTATTAAAAAAAGTGTAAGACCTTGTGCTCTATATCATGAGCTTTTAAAGCTTGTTGATAATTTTCTTTACTTTTAGTCTTTGACATTTGCACTCACACATTTTATTCATTTTGCAGTACTCATTGCAATAGATTGCCAGACATTGCACTTCCTTGTACGAATATTATATATTACGTAAATATTCATAAAATTTTACAAAAACAAACAGAAGAGAAATAAATGTTACTTTGAAAATGATAGACTTACATATTGATAAATAATTAGCATATATGTAACCTGCAAGTGCAGTACTTGGCAATATTTACTTGGCGTTTGTCAGAGGGAGCGTTAGAGCGATTGTTAGATATCTGACCTCCGACGTAGGTATACGTTTTGCAGAGAGAGATATGCCATCAGCTGAAATCCTTGGAGCGCGAATCAGAGATCGTTGGATTCCGCGCGACAGCATCGAACTTGTCCTGGAGTTGTCAAAATTGCTCCTCTCTTTGCCACTCTCTGCGCACGCGTTTATTTGAATCTTCGTTAATCACCGACTTTAGATTATAGAATCCAATCTCACTAAGTGTTTACCAAACGTTCAACGTGGATAACCACAGTAGATACCAAGCGATTCCGTTGTCAATTGAAATGTGCAACGAATTTCAATGAAAAATTTGGTCGCTGCGCGTTGCACCTTGCAGGTTGCTGCACATGAAGGTTGCGTTTGCGCGAGAATACAACACACACGAACGTCTTGATAAACAATAACAATCGAGTACGTCGCGCGTACCGGCGTTATCACATTATTTAGCGGAATATATACATGTGTGTGTTTTATTGGTCGGAATATGTGCGCTCATCCTGTGCGGCTCTTGGGGGATAATTCACCGGGAATATCGGGATAAAACTTCATGCGTAGCAGCCTTTAGAGTGCGTCAGCGGCGCACCGACCGGGCAGTGCGGGCAATCCGGGCAACCGAATTCGGCTGATTCGTGTAAGTCCGCACACGCACACTGACGCACACATCGTCGAGCCGAGCGAGTGCGAGTCGCGCGACGGCGTAGCGGGTCCCGAACTCCGCGATAACTGGCGTACGCGTTGAGATCAACGATAAAACTACCGCGCGCGCGGAGGACGGAAGCTGCACACAAGGATTGGCGTGTATCGTCTGTCCCGCGCGCGATAATCGACATCGAGGATACCGCATCGGCGATACGCGATCTCGGGGGCCCGTCACAAGGAAGGAAGGAACGAGTTGACGTCTGTGGCGCGTGGCAGGGCTCCTGCTGGCCAGTCGTTCCTGTAAACATGGTGTTTGGACTCGTCGGGCCGATTGTTGTTCTCCGCAGGACCGACTGAAGGCTCCGCGCGGGCGCGGATCTTGCGGGTTAAACGCGCGGGTTAATCGCGGCGCAGCCGCCCCCCCGGGAAGACCGGCGTGTATCATGTGATTCTCTCGCTGGAATACAACAAGTATGGACACATCTTCGTTGCACGGTGAGTTCGCCGCGTTGCCCGCGTTCCGCTGCCCCGGTTTGGGCACCGCTCTCTATCTATGGGTCTCGGTGTTTTCTCGAGTATCGCTCGCACATCACGATCGACGGGACAGTCGGGCGATACCGATACCGATATCGATACCGATACCGCTACTACGTTATTTGCCCTTCTCCCCGGCGATACTGCCGATAGCCGAGACTCCCTGCTCGCGCACTGCCGTCCTTATGTGAATAAAAGTTCATCGATTACATAAATCGCGCATTAGATTTTCACGTCCGATCGCAACTTGCGTTTCGTTTGTAGGATCGGTTGTCGTTTCCCGTAAAGGTTAGGTATCCTACGCTATTGACATTCGCGAGTATTCGTGCGGGATACCGCCTATTTTAGGTTATGGCTGTTTTTCATAATTACACGATCGCGCGGTTGTGTTACCAGGTTTATATGACGATTTGATTTTCTTGCAAAACAGGAAACTATATACTTTAGTGAGAAAAGTTTGGGACATCTCTGGGTACTTCACCATGGAACAGTCGGACTCGCAGCAGACCCAAGCTCTGGTGGTCGATGTGATTCAAACGGACGTTGACGCGCAGGCAGCTCCGATCGCTGAAGACGTGAAAGCCACTTCCATCGCGCAGAGTGGCCAAGATTTACCAAAGGCGTGCAAGCTACCGTTGGAGTCTGTTTTAACGGTCGACAACATTGACGTCCGTGTGGAAGTTTCGTCGGAAGATCACGCGGACGCGAGCCACGCTGAGGTGTCCGCTAAGGAGATTGACGACGGTGCGATTGATGATGCGAAATCTGAGCTGGGGGAGCCGAAAGCGGAGATCGGCAAATCGGAGCAGGAGGGAATCCACGATGCGAAAGATAAGGTAAATTTGAATCACGAATCACAACACTTGCCCAACGAGGAAGACCAAAGCCTAAATGTGATACCTGAATCTAAAGTAATAAAAGAGGACGAAGAGGCAACTGGTAGTCTAGAAAATGACTGTAATATAATAGGGTACGCGAAGCAGTCCGATTCCGTAGATAAGCAGTGTGTAGCAGTAGACGAGCCTAGACTTAGCAAACACGGGGGCCAGACTCATGACTTGTGCAAGTCAGTCGAAGAAACAGTTAAGGAAATACATAACGATAACGACGGTAATCAGAACAACTCGGTCGTAACAAATGCTGAGCTAACTAAGGTAGTGCAAGAGGAAACAGAGGTGGTTGTGGTAGTCGAGACTATACCGGTCGCCACTGACGCAACGGTGGATAATTTTATTGTCACTCTGAAGGAGAATGACGCTAATAAAGAATGCAGCCAAGAAAATGCTACTTTACTAGAGAAACAAATTGCCGAATCCACCTGTGGGAACAATGAGATTGATCTAATTGATTACAGCCAAGGAAGCGACGATACTATAATAGAGGTAACAGAAGTTATAGACACTCCGCTTGACGAACAACATAAACAGCAAAATAATATGGACTGCATAGACGGTAATAAACACGACACGAAATCTGTAAAATTAATCGATGGAAAGGTTGCAATTGACGAAAGTGTAAATGATGAGAATAAAGTAAAAGTGATTGATGGTAAAACTTTGACTAGTTCTGAGAAGGAGAATAAGGAAGATATCACTATTATTATAGATGAGAAGATCATAATTACGGAGGAAGATTCAGAAATTACGACAGATTCGCAAATTGAAAATATTCATAAAAATACTACTAAGGAGACGGCTGAGCACAAGCAAGATGACACACCTGCTCACAAGGTATCCGCAGTGGAATCATCGTCGAAGAAAAGGAGCGTTATTCAAGATATATTTGACGATTGGGGTGTCGAGAATGCGGATGAAGATGTGCAATCAACTTCAAAAGTGCACGACTCTGTCGAGATCGAACTAAAGAGCCTATTGGACGAGACGAAGACGGAGCATACCGTTACGAATGAATCAGTCGTGACTCGTCAAGAAAAGATTCCTCCTGCAAATGAAGGATACGATGAGACGCATAACATTGTAAGTACAATCGAGAAGAGTACAACGAAGCAGTCGAGTGAACGAATGGAAAATCAAAAGAAAAATAAAGCGATTAACAAGGACGCAGTGTCATTGAATAAAAGTGACAAGACTTCTTCCGTATCGGCTGCGAGCAGCAGATCTTCACAAGGTATCGATACGCGTGCGGTTAACGCGTCGCCGCACGACACCGCAGTTCCTAAAAACCGCTCCCGGCATTTAACAAGTCAGATCGCGTCGCCGGCTGAAGTTACGGAGGTGTTGAAGGAGCGTTTCCGCGAAAAGCAAAAGACCGTGGACGCACCGCGTGGAGGAGACATATTCTTTGTGAAGAAGCTAACGCAAAGACTATCCAATACATTGGCGGGTAGCCCGATAAATCCACAGCAAACCGCCTCGTCAAATTCACCTCCCTCTTCTGTCGCCGCACAACCGGCATTGGATAACTGTGATAGAAAAGCGGTAGCGGAAAATACGATAACGGAAACGGGCAAGGAAGCAGACAAGGAACTGTTGGCTATTTTAGAGGGTGACGGTGATCCTGATTGGTCCATTTTGAAACCACCAGTCCTTACGGAAGAAAGCAGTTTTTCAAACGTGGAACACTCCGAACAAAGCGGCCCTCCGAAACTAGATCCATTGGTCGAACGAGAATTAGCACTGAAACAGCTCCTTGAATTGCCCATGACATCATCCAAGAAGACTATGCGGAAAAAGAAAACGTTCCGAGGAGCGTCTAATAGAGCGTCTAAGGACGCGACTGCCGTCGCGAAAAATTCACTTGCTGCAGAACAACAGGAGGATAATGTAGATTTAGCGAGTGAAAATGCGCAACCAAATGCAAAATCTGTCGAGATTGATCTGAATTCTTTACCTCGTGAAAAGAACGAGCAAAAAAATCAGGAACAGACAGGCATACGAACGGACGAGTCAAGATCAGGCAGAAAGCGCAAGCCCACCGAAAAAGCGAGAGAGCACGAACAAAATACGATAAAACGGCAGAAAGTATACAGAGGTAAAGTTTCGATAAGTAAGAAACAAGTGGGGGAAGAAAAGCCCGTCTCCGATAATAGTTTGACAATTAAAAATCACATTGCGACGAGCAGCGCGACGAACGTTGCTGTGAATAATGAGAAAACTGTCGCGAAAGAAGTAGCAGATAAACAGTCCGAGGACAAGGTAGATCCAGTTTCAAATAAAATGGAAGATTCTCCCGTGAGACGACCAAAGTCGTCTAGTCCTGCTAAAAAAGAACCGATTACCAAGACGAGAATGGTTGTCAAGAGATTACTGCGTCAAAAAATGCCAATTGATAAGAAATCTGATCAGTTGAAAACCAAGCTGACCTCGTCGAAGAAAACTCCTCCGAAGACTGTCTCAAAATCGCCGAAACGGACAGCCCAAGAGAGTCCGTCCGGTGACGTAAAACCCAAGAAGAAGATCATAAATGAGATAGATAGATTGTTACAGGACGAGGGTGTCGTCAATTTACTGTATGACGTGGAGCAGCCGGACAAAAAACGCCTAGTTCCCATCACAAAGTCACGAGCGAAAGTGATGGACCTGCAGAAGGTGCAGCGTGAACTTAAAATCAGAAAAAAATTGGTTCGCAATGCCGTGTTGCGATTACGTACGTCGACTGTCGCAGACGTGACGAAGGTGTCGCCGAGAACGAAGAGAACGGCGACCTATCCGGCTGAGGCTCAAGTGGATAAGAAGAAAGAGGTAGAACAGGTCGCGTCGCCGAAAACCTCGAACGCCACCTCGCCCACGGAATTCATTCTTCCGGCGAAGATTCGAAATGCGGCCGACGCGTCCATCATCGTCAGGAGGCACTCGTCCAGTTCGTTTTCAAGCGCTTCTGGAAGCCCCCGAGTTAGCGTCGACTCACCCGAGAAATCTACGGAAGCCTTGGCAAAGTCGGAAACTGACGGAACAATTCATTCCTTGAGATCTGCCAAAAAGAGACGAGATTCACAAGACGAGAAGATTAATAATGCGAAGAAGAAGAAGAAAACAGTACAAAAGTCCGATGCCGATGTTAACGCTGGTACCAGTACCGTCGTTACAACTACCACAGTTGCTGGTAGTAATACTGTCGCTAATAATACGGAAGAAAAAGTTGCGCGTCCCGGTAAGAAATCGGAAATCAAGAAACTCGACAAAGTCGGGAAGCAACAGGAAAACATTCCCGCGGTCGAAGATAACGTTTCGAGTAAGGTTACAACCAGATCGTCGAATGGTGCAGTAACGGGGAAAGTAACAGCCAAGAGCAAAAAGATTATGAAAAGCAAAGTGACTTTTACCAGGGCAAATGATCTTGATAAAACTGAGGACTCTTCGAGAGAGGAGGAATTATCTGCTTGTCTCGCTGAAGCGGCTACCGCTCTTTCAGTCGTCAATGCCAGAAATGGTGCGACCACGCGAAAGAGCAAAGGTAAAGGTAAACACTATATCTCCGATATATCTTTTTTTTTTGTAAAATAAAAATGATTATTTATTTGTCTAAAAGTAATTTAAAAGTAATTTGATATCATATATCAAATATCCATACGATATTTCAGTACACACAAATATTGTGAAAACGTTGGATTTAGATAGTAACAAAACGAAAACGGAAATGCAAGGTCAATTCAGTAATAAGGAAATAAATGTACGCCGACATGGTAATCTCGTACAATTAATACTTACGCCTTCCTCTTCCACAAAAATAAGAAATGCTCTTACATTGCAAGTAAGTTGCTTAACTTTCGCGATTCAAATAATCTCCAAATTATTACAAATTGCTAAACGTATTATCTTTAATGGTATTAGGTGATGCAAGAATTTAAAGACGCACTGTCGATATTGAAAAGGGATGACGAGTGTAGGGTAGTACTGTTAACATCTACGGGGACGAGTTTTTGTGAAGGTCTGGATCTTTCAACATTATTGCACACAAACAAGGAGGAACGACGATCTGTCGCTCACGAGTTAGCACACGCTGTCAAGTATGTATTTAAGCATACGTGAAACACAATGGCTGATACATATAATATTTTATACGATTTTTTGTATTCAAATTTTTATTTTTTTATTTTTTTTCAGGGATTTCATAAAAAGTTTGGCCACTTTCAACAAACCCATAGTGGCTGGCGTACAGGGTGCTGCAATTGGACTCGGAGTGACAATGTTGCCTCTTTTTGATCTTGTAATTGCTAGTGATAAGGCGACTTTCTGCACGCCTTACGGGAAATTAGGACAAATTGCTGAAGGTGCTGCAATCTTTACCCTGTCACACATACTAGGCAGTGCAATTGTAAGTAGTAATTTTTATAATCTTTTATAACGTAACGTGAAAGTAATCGAAAAATAACATCTGTATACGTTTTTCGATAGACGAGCGAACTTCTTTTGGGTGGAAGAACTCTAACGGCAAGTGAAGCGTTGAGGGCCGGTCTCGTTACTCGAGTTTTATGGCCTGATCGGTTTCAAGTAGAATTATTACCATCGTTGCGGGCTATGAGTGATCAGTCGTCACAGGTAAGTTACGTGCAACACAATATCTCTTGAGTTTTATTTTATTAATAAGCTTTTGAGATATATTTAAAAATATATATTTTATATATATTTTACATACATAATATATTGCTGAACTTACAACAGTTTTTTTTATACGTACGTTAAATTGTAATGCTTTTATATACATATTTAATAACGGTAACAATAAGCCATATAAGCAGGTCCAGAATAGAGTAGTTCCTGTATCTTTACCTGTGTTTTATCCTTGAAAACGCATAAATGTTTTTCTGGACATGTACATCTGTAATATGTTGAATATAGGTCAGCTCGTATATAGCCGCAAAACTCCAAAGTTTCGCACATTCTTTTCTACATCAAAAAGTTTGCATTCAGTAAATAATATGTTGGTAAATTAAAAAATATTAAATATTATTAAAATAAAATTACAAATCTTGTCTGTTCCTGCATAGTTTAAACATTTTTTTTCTTTTGAAACACAAGAGATTTCAGGACAGAATTAATAGTTTTATACATTATAAATTGTGTAACAAAAAATGTTTAAATCATGCGGATATAATAGAAAATACTTGTAATTTATTATCTTGTGAAATGCAGAAGTGATTTTCTCTCTGTGCATTATATTACACATACAAAGTATACCTTGACACATCTGAATATTTGAACAAGACCATGCTCTTCGTACGTGTATTTTTGCAACTTCCAGTAATGTGTTTGCGGACATATGCAATTTATTGTCACGTTGTACGGTATTATGTAGCTGTTATTCGTATCACCTTCTCCATATACTGTCACTGCCTCTTGTTTATGCGTGCATACCTTCAGTTCCATTAATTGCGTGCAGAACTGTACCAGGAAACATGATTGTCAGAAATGTAAAAAAAAAAGATATTTTTTAAGTTACCTCAGTCTCTTTTCGATACCTTCAGAATGGATCTATTATTGAGGAACATGGTTGAATTATCAAAGGTTTTCGTCCATTGCCACGGACATTCTTTCCCATTAGAACAGCGGCAAAGTCTTTCCGTCAAACCGGGCATCCAAAATCGGTCGTGAATTATGTTACATACTTCGTATGGTTCACAATTGTGTAAATCGCTTTCTCCTTCGACCTATTTTGATGCAATAGAGATTTGTCATGCCATTACACTTGCGAGGAACTATCTATTTATATGTAGTATAAATTTCATATACGAACTCCCTTCATATACTTGAACGTAATATTGTTAGCCTTACTGCTGATTGTCGTATACACACCGACACTCGCGTTTATCAGGGAAACGAAGAAACAAGTTTTGATAAACATATTTATTATCGCGTGCACGCTTGACTACGTTAGATTCGATGTCATAAGTGAGATTATATTAACAGCAAGTGGCAGCAATAATGCTAATACATTCTCGATTCTACGTTTGCTCCCACATGACTCGTAATTGCGAAACTTTTTAATATTTATGACATTGTCTTCGTTTCATTTGTAAAACATGGAGATGTAAACGATAAATCAAAGTATTGATTGAATAAAATCCATTTTTTCTGTGTAATATTGCACATATTTTAATAAATATCATAAACAATATTCATATAAACAGATATAACAAGAAAAGTATTTGTACAGATTGTTAGCATATTATTAGCAGAAAGAGAGAGAATCATATTTACATATGTGTATATTATGATTTTGTTAAATCACTAATCATATTTTTTATAAAAATCTGTTATTTTTAGTCCATGGAAGCAACAAAGGCTTTGCTACGTCACAGTCTACGGAAAAAATTAGATGCCGCACTTGAATCGGAAACATACTTACTAATTCAACATTGGTGCTCTGTGGAATGCCAGACTGCTATAAAAGCTTACATTGATGGAAAAATCGAATAAACAACGGTAAGCGCCCTTTTTGTATGTGAATATTATGGTTTAAATACATATATATTTTGTAATTTATTATATAATTACTTATTGTGTGAAACTGTTAATTTCAGTGCATATACTACTCTTTATTTGTGGTTCTGCAATCTGTGTTAAAAATCAGAAGTGACAATTGAATTTGTGAATATCGATGCAGATGACAAAAATCGTATGACATATAAAATCATACTGTCATGTGCAACTTTTGATGTAACATTCTACGTCAACACACGGTATAAGATGTAATTTAGATATAAGGTATAAAATTGAGAATCACTGAAAAAAAGATGGACTATTTTACTATTAGATCGTTTAGATATAAATTTATTATTCATAAATATATTTGTATATATATTTATATATACATATATATATATATATATATATATATATTTATATATACATATATATATACATATAATCTTCTGCATTATGTTATTACTGTTAGATTAAAATAAAGGTACATTCATTGTAAGAATCAAATTATATTTCTGATACATTGTTTACCGAATTCATTGGCTCACATGAATTTATGTGTATTTGCGGAGACTTGTGTGCAATTGTTTAAAAAGAAGACTGCACATAAACAAACTTCACAATTCAAACAGCCAATGGATCCGTTTTCCTTCCTGTGAAGCAATATTTGTGTATTTTCGCAAAATTGACAAGTATATTTATTCGTAAAAAAAAAAATGGCAGCGCCAACAATGCCGTGCACTTACGAGTTTTCCAGAGGCCACGGTACTGGTGCGGCAGAAGCGCTTGGAAACTGGGGCTTCTCTAATAGAACGTGTAGCGCCGGTCAAGAGCTACAACGTTTAAAGTGTCTCTTCGCAAAAATGGACTCTTTGTGAGGAGAATATTTCATTCAACGACAGATTCAAATTGACGAGTTGTTGGCTTTAAGAAAAAAAAAAAGATTTTTGAAAAAATCGAAAAGGAATAAAAGAATCATCTTGATCAATTCCAGACGTAGTCGCGACAAACCGACGATGTGCGTCAAATACGATCGCAGATACGATCCTGATGCGTGGTATGTTAAGCCTAGCCCTGATGAATGTAAACCGTCGTGGACATTTCCTATAAATAGGCCTGTCATTATTTATTGTTCGACCGCCGAAATCAGGAAAAGTTCCAATTTACGTGAAATCAAAGCGGAATTAATGTACGATGTTCCTGGCCGGACCTATGTTCAACAGGGTGTATGTATATATTCATTCAATGAGCTTAATCATTTCAAGCGAATCAACAAAGTTTCTATTATGGAAATCTATAATTACTATATAAATTTTGGATATATATTGTATCCAAAAGTAGGTATTCCACACAATTATAAAATTTACTTTTAGACAACCAAATGGTACCGTCGAGGTTCAGATTGTTGTTATCAGCCTAGCTGTTTAGCTCCACAATGTCCTGTACAATACTGTTGTAAAGGATAATCTTCAAAATTTTTATATAATTGTAATCGTACTTAGTGGTAACATCAAATCGAATATATTGAATGATTTTTTCTAACAATAAAGTGTAATATGTGCAACGTATATATATATATATATATATATATATATTTATTACATTCTGAAATATAGGTTTATAATTCGAAAAGAAATTATGGTGGAGGAATTAAGGTATAAGGACACAACGATACAATTAAGTTAACAAAAAATTACATCCGAGAGCAATGAGGTCGTTTAATTTATTTTTTTTACTTTAATAAACACAGTGTCCCGAGTTTTTGCGCGTTGCGTGAGAACAATTACATTATTATTGTATGGTGGGGCAAGTGATTTAAATGACCGTCACTGCAAGATTTTCACTCTTTGAGCTGATATATCGGTGAATCAAGTATCTCTAGATACTAGGCTAGTATTACAACAATGTACACTAATTCGAATTCCTTAAATAGAAACCGATCTACACAAGTAGCATTTTGTAAGATCCTAGATAAGGAGCTCTGTGCTGTCTTTGCGATGACTCTGCATGAAAGCTTTCCCTCGGGATTCTTATGTACAAGAAAAAATATACAAAAAACTGAATGAATTGATATGAGTCATGGTACAATATAAATATGAAAACTGTAAGAAAATGACGTACGATTTACGCGAGTCAATAATACATGTTATACGAGTTATTAAAAATATATACTTATGATACCTTAAGCAAGTAATATACATATCGTAATGTATAAATTAAGACTAGATAGAATATCGGAGACCTTATCTACTTCTACAGCCAATATAATAATCGAGTGTGACTGAAGTACAACTTATAAGCTATAGTTACGCAATAATATGCGGCACAATGACGGCTGAAAGCGTACTGGCAAGAAGAAGAGAGCACATGGTATTTTGTTGACATTTCATTTTTTTTTTCCACATATTCTGCCTTAAGTTGGACATAACACTGAAATCAGGATAGTAATTGTGTAAGCATTTTTCTCAAAGTTAGAGTGCCAGAAAGTAGCTGATCGATCATCATTTATAACATGTTCGAGAATTGAAAAATTATTAATATTTATAGTGGAACAGGATTTAGTAAAATTGAATTAAAAATCTAAATTACCTTTGAGTATATAATCCGTTAGCAAAGTAGGTACTGTCGGGCTATCCTCGCTAATGGCCTTTAATACTGTAAATAAACACGTCATTAATACATGTAATTAGATAGACTGTAATTTGTAATGAAACACACTTACTTTTGATAAGTACTTGCAAAGCTTGATTGTCTGGCGGACCACTGTCTGTATGATATGGAATAACGGTCGTCAGGTACTGTAATAACATTGAGAATTGTTTTTATTTTTCTCTAAATTGTGCGATTAAATTAATGCAAATTATTTTTGAATTTATCGGAGATTTAATTTTTTGTAAAAGCAATCGTAATTTAATGCGTAAAATGTTTACTACGTAAATACATAGCTCTATACAGCGGTATACATTACCTTCGGCTCCTGCAAAGACCTATGTTGCGGCAACGGACTAGTACCATTCTGCATTTGATTTCTCTTCTTTGTAACATGATGCTGCCGACGTCGGTTTTGCACAGCCAACAGTAAAGAAATAAACTGGTTTTTGAGTTCCTTCTCGTATTCCAATTCGTCCCGAAGCGCAAGCTCGGCGATCAGTGTTTCGCTCAAAGCCGCAACCAAGGATTCCATTTCTCCAAAAAGTTCAGTCAGTTGGCTGGAGGAAAGCTGTTTTAATTCTGAAAAATACATTCATGACATGTATTTTTATTTATTATAGAAATTAAAATTTATCTGTCTATTATATTTAACACGAATATTTTTATATTATATAATTAATATTTGAAAACACATACTTTTTTCATGAAGTGGTGATCCAAGTACTTCTCTACTCCTTTCCAAAGCTTCGTCGCTGTCCAATAAAGAACCCTCTGAATCCGGCGATCTTTCCATTGACGGACTTTCCTGCGACGGCGAGAAAATGCAGAATCATTAATCGCTCGTTTACGCAGTCACTATACTGCACCGACAAGAATGCATTATTGCGCCGAGATTATACCTGCATTATGTCATCTATCTCGCGAAGAACTTCCTCGGCGGTCTTCATCGGCTCTTCCGGACTGTGAGTATCAGTACTGCTGGATAAGATTAAAGCATGCATGTCCAAATCTGTGGCGACTGCTTCGTCTTCGCTACTCAAATCCTCTAGTTCAGGTCTGCAACGAATAAAAAAAAAAGCGTTGAATTTATAAACGTTAGCAAACGATGCGAGGAAGCGAGGTCGGTCTTATGTAGAGAGTACTCTCTAAATTTTCTGAAGTGAATCTCACTCTAAAAGATTGAGAATATGGAGTGAGATTCACTCCAAAAGAGTGAAAAGTCACTGCAGAAAATTTAGAGAGTAATATTTTCGAGAAAATTTGATTTTCAAAATGAACAATCGGTGCAAAGTAAACTTTCGACGAATAATTATACTTGTGACAAATAAATTAAACGCGTAAGAAATTGAAACGCACCTCTCCGTAGAAGCGGGTGCTTCGTTCAGATTCAAAGCGGGCATATGCATTTTCCGCGCGTAGGATTTGCTCCAGTCGATGGGTAATATATTCCCGAAAGTTCCGGTGATCGTCCACCACATCCTGCAAAAAAATTCAATGTTGGATATGTAAAGTACGGTCACATGGAAAGGATCTCTTGGCATCTGCAGCTAAGGATAAATCATTTGCTTCAGCAACGCTTATATCACTTATGTATGTGTAAATAGATGTGAAATATCTTCACAGATGACTCACATCCTCTAATCCACACGCCATTCTGCGAGAAAACTAATGTGCCTTAAATTTATGTGTCATCACTCATCCGCTTGAATGATTCAATTGTAGGATTACTTTTCTTCCCCTTTTTGATTTTAATTTTGAATTTATTTGAGTATTTTTGAAGCATATAGTTATAATTTTGTAATAAAAGCAAGCCTATGTAATTTTCTTGAATATGAGAGAATTGTCTTGTGCTTTAGCTTCAAAACTTTAAATAAATAATTGTATACATAATATTAACTATTTTATTAATACTGAGATAATGAGATCATTTCAAAACTTTTAATCTCTATTTTATTATTTTCATAATTTTTTTATCTTTAAATTCTTTTGTTCTAATATCTATAAAATATAATTTCTAATCTCGCTCTCCCTTTCTACAAGTATACAATGAGTAAAGAAAAGGTTTGCTCATAGAGATGTCACAACAATTTCCGGCGTCCATCTAAAGGTTAATGAGAACGTATAACAGAGATGTCGAGTAATTTTAGCGCGAAGGACACCATTTTACGAGATGTTACAAGAGCATGACGTGTAATGCGCGATCAATAAATGCAGATGTTCCTACGAGGATGATATAATGTCGCGATATTATTGAGTCGTACCTGTGTGTGTTGTTCCACAATGTAGAAACACGCATTTGGAACATTCTATATATAGCTAACGAGAGAGAGAGAGAGAGAGAGAGAGAGAGAGAGAGAGACAAGTTTCTCACACAGGAGCCTTCATCTTTTAATATATCGCGTGAATTTATATCATTTATATAATATCCGTGCGATTATTGTCATTAGGGCACATTTAGGACACCCTCTATGGCGATGAGAGCGACGGACTTTCTAGGACGCCCGCGTGAATCACTGCAGGCTGTGGGCGTTTCCTGCGTTACGCATTGTACGTGTATACGCACTGCATAGATAAAACGTTTAATCATATGCAAACAAAACGTATAGGTAAACGACGCTGCGGCGGTAACGTGCTGTTTTCTAGAGGAAGTAATTTTTCATGCGAAGAACGGCCAGATCGCCAGAACGAAGACTTCTATCTCGCGGCGCGAATTTGCGAACAATGTAATCTCATGGGAGCCGAGCAGCGCTTGGCACCCAGGCCTGTAATATTCTTAGGAACCGAAATATCAATCAGTCATTAACTTTTTTTTTATTTCTTTTTCTTCGAATGCCTTACGATCCTTCGATCTCGCAATTGAAGCTGCAGTGTGCTTTGAAAGTCGTACTAAAGCTCTGTCTTTCTTAGAATATCTCAGTTTGGCTAACTTGCAATATTTGCGTTTCATCAGGCATCTTCCCTGTATACTTTCTTCAAATGAACAGATAAGAAAATCGTGTTTTCTTATATATTTTTCTATCAACCCACATTTCTCAGACAGTTAAAATTAGTTTTTACATATTAATTCTTTAGAGATTTATAATATGTAAAATATATGAATTAGAAACTTTTAATTTTTGTGAAAAAAATTCGTATAGAGAAATGTTATGTTTCAAGCAAATAAAGCCATTAAAATCTATATTACATTGAGAATATTAAATATTTCGATCTAAACATTTGTTTTGTTCAAAATTCGCATGTATTTGTGAAAATAGAAAAATGACTGCAATGGATATCACAGAGAGAATCAATGCATTGATCGACCATCTCATGCCGTGGGTTAATAAATCGAGGTCAACTCAGTCCACTTGAGTCCCTGATTAATGTAAAGTGGCTTTATCTCCAGCGCATACGTTGTTCGCGTCGAAAAGACCAGGCATTTTATACCACATGGTACGTACGAAGTCTTCGCCAAGCTAATTTTTATTCTCCGAACGCTCGCAAAAATCACATGCGGATAGCAAAGGATAAAAGGAAGCTCAGCGATTGTAAAATTTGCTTAATCTCGAAAAATGGTGATTTTATGATTTTGCACAAACAACTTCTCTATCGGTTCTTTTAAAATCGCTTTCTTCCCACAAAATCCGCTCGAGAAACAGAGAGAGAAAGAGAGAGAGAGGGAGGGAGAGAACATTTAAAAAATTATAAATTCTTTCTTAATTAAAATCAGACAATTCTCTTATAGCCTCCGCGTATAAATTTACCCCCGTAACACCCCCCTGAATGTGGCTGTCGCCATCTGAGGCGCGTGCGCGCGGATATTGACGTTCGCCCTCTGTTTGGAGGGTGGTGTAGCTCAATACGAACGAAGGAGCAAAACAGAGATTAAATTTTCATGCCACGCGTTTTCGTCAATATCAAAACACTTATGAAATGTAGTATCAATTAGAGAATTATTAATATTTTCAATTGTTCGCTTATCGGACACAGAAACTTGACGCAAGTCATTAAACAACAAAAAATAAATAAAAAAGTAAAGTTTGTATATATTTTTATATTATATTATAATATATTTCTCTCCGAAAAAAAATGTATATTAATCTTTGTATAAGATTCTATATAAAACTCGGAAGCCAAACTAATCAATTCCACTTTTTACAAATTTTGTAATTTTAGTATCGAATTATGTATATCTATAGATATATAATAGCTTGTCAATTTTCTTAACTTCTCATTTTATATAGAGATAATTAGTTTGGCTTCTGAGAAGCTCACACATATCGATCGCACGCGACGATGATCCATGTCACACGCAAATCACTAAAGGGACAGACGTATTAATCTCCATTCGACACGCGTTTCCGGTGCGGCCAGTTGGGCGTCGCGTTCAGCCTCGCGCTAGAAAGTGCGGCTGGAAAATTATGTGGAAACTACGCGTTCAAACGCGTTGGATCGCGACGAACAGAGCGTAATTCGTAAAGTACGACGGAGAATGCGTAGCGCTTCGTGGACGTGTGCCCTCGCATCGCTACCGCGGCTTTGTCGCAGTTGCAATCGGGTCGATGGCCTTATTAGTCACCGGAATGGAGAGAGAACGTGCCATTTGAATAATGCCACCCTCGCCGAACGCCCTTTCATAAACGCCGCACGTAAATCGGAGTCGATCAATGGCATTTGGGGGTCGCTCGTTCCAGAGAAACCTGCACGAATCGCGGAAGGCTTCTTAGGAGAATGGGAGAAGAAAGAAGAAAAAGATATTGCCGATTTTGTGTTTGTTATTAGAGCGATTCTTCTTTCATTTATATTGCAATCTCCTCAATAAATCTTCTGCGCTGCAATATTTTTCTTTCCGAAGCGGATCTTTTTTTCCACGACTCGCGATCATAAATTTCTGAACAGTTGAATTCCCAAAATCTCGTAATATTCAATATGAAAAATATGTGTAATATTCTTTTTAACTAATAGACAAAAAGAATTGCACAAAGATCAAGATATATTTTTATTAATCCAGCGCATTTGTGGATTATCTCACACTTGCAAAGGACGTGTAGAAAATAGGAAATTAACTAACCAATCGAAAATCGCGCAAGTACCTCCGCACGAGACGGCAGATGATGAGGCGAATGATCCAATATAAATTTAACAGCCCTGTGCGTGGCTGCGCGCGGAAGAAGAGACAATTTCACGCTTCGTTGAATTTCACCTGCTGCCGCCCGGTTATGCTCGTTAGGACGTGCAGCCTTGCCTTAGCAAGTGAGCGTGTGTTGCGACTGTAATTTACACTCTGCGACTAAAATATTTGCCGGGATCGTTTATGGCAGCGTGAAGCCACGACCCCTCATGGTGAAAAATCCCTAAAGCTGACCATAAGCGTTGTCCGAGACATTGTATGATGTGTGCTAAATATTTTACGTATAAATTTACGTTCATATGTTTTAATGTATCGATTTATTCGCACAATTTTGTTTACATTCCATAACTTTCAGGCAAAATGTCAGTTTGACATAGAACTGATTTTGTGAGAGAATCGATTACTTTTTTTTATAGTAAAATCAGAAATTATATCATATCTCTTGAGTAAATATGCGTCGAACTTGCGTCTATGACGCAGCTTGAATCATGCCTACGTCAACATGTCTTGCTAGAGATGTTCGTCAAGGTCTTGAAAGATCTCGCCGTAGCTTGCTAGATGTTAATGCGTTCGTATAGCGTAGCCGATAAGAAAAAGGAAATTTAGAATATTTATGTCAACTGTACGAAGTGCCACTAACAAGTATTGCATATTACCATCAAAAATAAATGTTAATTATTAAAATCTAAATTAAATGTATCAAATCTTTAAATTCTACAATATTAAATCGAAAATGTCAAAAATAGTAAATTCGGGTGTTGACTTTATAAGCGTCTAATTACTTTCACTGAAATAACTTGTATACATTCGATTTAACGTCTTTTTATCTGTACGCTTTACTGAACATTAATAAATCAGCATTAACATCTCGATAGAAAATAGCACAAAAATAGTAATTTTATCAAATGGTCTTGATAACTGGATTAAAAGGAAATGTTCATGAATTATACAATCAAGATGCATTTTTTCGATGTCAAGCGACGACGCTGTGGCTACTTTGGAGAGAAAGCTGCAACGTGTGCCATAAACATCGCGTAGAGAGTACTAACGGTGTTGACACACTTCTTCCATTGGAAAATCGATTACTGTCGAATATGGCGGGAGTACAAAAAGAAATTCTATTTTTTAATTCTTTTTTTTTTAAATACGTTCGCCTCGAATGATAAGATGAAAATGTTGCATCGGTATTCACATCAACATAACGATATGCATGCAATAGACCTTCCAGTTATATTTTGATTTAAACCTTGCCACATGGGATGATTTTAAGAAAATTTTTTACATTCAATACGAATCTTCCAGTGGATGCTTTGAGCGCTGATATAGATGAGCAGCGAAACCGTACACCTAATTGGGTTGCACTATGCTGCAGCACGGCGGCACTGCATTAAACGGAGCATTAAGTGAAATTGCTGACGCGCTTTAAAGAAAGAGAAGAGCAAGACAAGAGAAAGAGAGAGCACGAGTCGTCGGCGAGGAGTAATCAAGATGAAAGATAGATTACTGGACCGCGTTCTACTCTCCGGACGGATGGGAATGCTCCCCCGTTATTGCGCGTTACGTATCACGCGCGTTATAACGAGCAAAACGGGTTAACGGTAATGCGATAAGTGATTATTTCCGCCGCAATCGGCAATCGTCACTCTCAAGCTGAGAAACGGAGTCGCGCCGAAGGGAGCCAAAGTCCGCAAAACGTAAACGTCGATTTTAATACTCACGCGTTTACCTGGCAATTTTCGAGGTGAGCGTGTACTCTACGCGTCGTCGACACGTTGTGATTTATTTTCCGCTGATACGCAGCGAAAACCGGTATACCCGTAATCGCGTTCTCGTTACGCGTACCGAAAAACCGCACGGTCGCACGCACGAAGGTTCACGCGATCGGTTACGAACTTTCGGTTTAATTAGGATTAATTAAAATAATTGCGTTATTGGGGCCAAATACACGCGATGCCTAATTTTTAGCGATGACAAAGCTCTCTTATATATAGCGATGCCACTAGATTGCTCCTTATGAAACGTGTGTGATAATCTCACCTCATTCAATAGGTACTTTGAGATCATTAGGATAATTATTATGCCGTAAACGACTTACTGGCACTCGTTCATAATCTCCTCTTGCGTTCGCACCTGTACCGGAGCCAACGATTCCACGTCAGTGCCATAATCGCGGAAGCAGGACGTGATCTTCTCGTCGAAGGTGTTGACGAGGTCCTCGAGGCTACCGCTGAACGGGCTGAACGTTCCTTCCTGGAGGATGTCGGTGCCATTCTCGTGTGTCGTAGGCGGCTCATTCGCGTTACAATTCTCGCTGAAACTTGTGTCCAGGCTGGCGTCCAATAATTGTTCTGCAAAGTCGAAAAAAAAAAAACAATTAAGAGACACAGATATCTGATAATGCAAACAAAAAAAAACACAAAAAATATATTTTTTAATTGCACGGTTTCGAGAATGTTACTGCGAGTTTCTCGAAGAAACAATTTCGTTCGAAGTTGGCGATTCGTTTTTTATTAAATCTATGCATCATTTTAGTCACGAATAGGGGATCGATGTCGCAGTTATTTTTTTTCTTCGTCGAAGTAAATTCTGATCTAGATTTAACCCTTGACATGCCGCACTTTGATATCGACAAAACACAAAGATGAACCGAGGTCGCGACGACTGGCGTCGCAATATCGAGCGTTATCGGATGTGACACTGCTCGTCGTCGCTCCAATAAGAGAGAGTATACCTACTCATCCCTCTCGAGCAATATATATATATATATATTTCTTTTCGTGCCAACTCCGGTTCTGCGACGCAGATAACGTCGAGTTAAGTTTCACAAAAGATTTTCGAGGTGATTTTTAATCTGCATATTTAATCTATATCATATCGCATAAAAATTAAATGTAAAAGGAAAAGGTAAACATAAAGCGGCAGATATACCGTGAACATATCACAGATTCGACAGATACCTATTACTTATTTTCTCTGAGATGAAATCTGGAGAGATCATCTATGTCTCTATAATATAGAAAGATACAGAAGAAGTCGATTATTATCGTGACACGAAAATTAATGGCCTTGGTGGAATTGGCTCGTGACACAGAATCGTGGGTGTCGACGGTGAATAGCTTGCGTTCGAACGTCGCTGTATTCGCGAGCAAACACGACGTGTTTCGGGAATGAATTCGAAGAAATCCTATCGCGACGTTAACTGGTGACGAGATTTCACGGTGACGCGACCGAATGACAAAAATAAATTCGGAGTAAGGCCCGCGCGGTCGGTCTAAGTCGAGTAAATTTGGCTCTTTTTCGTTTTCCCACTCGTCCTTTGCTGTCGCGCAGGTATAGAATTCTTTTGAGCATACCGAGCGCTAAGAGCGCCACAACCGGGCCCGAAATTCGTCAATGCAGTATTCCGTTGCGGGGTTGATCCGTGACACCTGTCGATCCCTGAGAAACGCGTCCGGGGCCGCGTGTATCTCCTTTTAATCCACTCGCGGCGCGAGAGATCGATTATTCCGAGAGATAGTGTTCGGAGAGTCAAAATTCAGGTCGCGGGTCGCGCGCGGCACCTTGTGCAGAATTACATCATCACCGCCGCAAGCGATACTCTCTTTGGCGATTTAATATTTCCACGACAGTTTCAGTCGTCCGAGATGAAGGCGAAATAGGAGTGCGCAATGCGGCATTTGCGCCAATTGACGTGGTAATTAATAGCTCGCGGCGGGGCTCGCGTTACTTCTAACTATTTCGTTCGTCGCCAATTTCGAAAAGCTTCGATGGCCTCACGTGATGTCCCGAGTGACGAATATGAAAGGGCTGAACGAGCGTCACTCGAGCACACCGCGAGGGATACCGCTCGCCAGACACGCGTCGAAGTAAACAAGGCGGTGTTTCGCACCTGTCAGGAGGTTCATGTTCTTCAGGCTGGCGGTGTCCTCCTCCTCGAAGCGCGCGAGGGGTGCCTCGAACTTCAACTCGGCGATCTTACCTGCCATGTCCCTCATTATTGAACGTGAGGGAGTACCGCGAGCGCGACGTGGAAATTCGGCGTCGCGGCCGAAACGTGTGCGTCTCCGATCGTTTTTGCAGGTCCACGCGCGAAACGGGACGCCTCGCCCGCCGTTTATCCGACGAGATCTCGAGAGCCGAGGTCGAGACGACGTCGACGACGCGACCGAAACATGTAGAGGAGGTGCGACGACGCGCGCGCACACACACCACACACACCACACACACGCGCGCGCGCGATAACCCCCGTTGACACGGGCGAACCGACTGCGAGCGAGCGACAGCGAGCGACTGACGTAGCGACGTGGAGGGGACCTACTCTGCTCCTCTTCGCTGCTCTTCGACGGGCACGATGGTGGTGGTGGTGGTGGTGGCGGGTGCGGGGTGGCGGCGCTGGCGGGTTACGTTGGATGTTGGATAGTAGGTGGTAGAAAGATGATCGCGCTGGTCGTCATGGCAACCGCTGGCTGAGCGCGCCGATGTCAGGACTCACGAATCGTCTCTCTTCGTCCAGGGCCGACTTCACTCAAAGCGGTCACTTTCAGGAACCCACTTTCACTAAACTTGCACACATCCACGGGAATATTCGCTATCACGGGAGTATTCACATTTATTTGCACTAGGCGCTTTTGTTCTTTCTCTTTTCAACGTCTAAGATATATATCTACCCCATTTTAGAGAGAGAAAAAATTCTAGAAAGTGCAAATAAGATAAAAAAACTTCCTGGATATTAATTGTACGGTATTGCTATGCGCTTCGAAACGCTTATTCGATAAAACGCAATATTGTGACAGACAACAGCAGCAAGATGTCACTATTGAATGTTGAGAGAGATGGCATTTATTTATGTAAAATAATTGCAATATATAAATAATTGATGATATGTAATATCGGATATTAATTACAAATTATGATTCTGCGTTTTTTTTTTTACGGTATTTTAACTTTCTATGCCACTGATTAGGAACATGCAAAAGACGTTTCCTCAATGGGTAAAAACTCGACTGTTGATAACATCTTCAGAAAGATATCGAGCAACATCATTGCAATTATTCTTATTAGCGACAGTCGTATATTACCATATTTTCTACATTTCCATATATTGGTATATTTATTGTTTGGTAAAACAATTATATTTTTTCTGTTAATACTACAATATGCAGAAATAATTGGTAAATTGTTTGATTCAGTATATATCGATATATAGAGTATGTATGTACAGAAAATTAATTTGTAGACTACTATATCCTTCTTTAAGTAACTTTAATTACATTGAAATCGATATAATCAAAACAAATTAATCAAAAATAATTTTCGAGCTACCAATTAAAGAATCACTTTTTAATCCGCTTTGAATTGCGGATTAAAAAGAATTGAAATGTCTTTTAGGAATACATAGATAATTTCGAGGAGACATGATCATGGCAAGAGTTTATCAGGAAATATAGCAACCCAGATAGTATAATTAATTCTCGAGTACAATTCATTTTGCACGACGAAAAAATATTCCAATGAGCTTCTAATAAATCTCCGTCCATCGAGGTGAACCAATAACCAATAAACATTAATGCCAATCGCGTAACGCAAAAAAAAGGTACGTCATTACGAATTGCATAAAGAAACAGGGCGATTTGCATCAAGTAGAGCTCGAAAGAACGCGCGATCTTACTTCCATCCTTGACGATGGCTGCAGATAATCGTACGTTTTACGCCGAAGGGTAGGAGGAGGGTAAAGAGGAGGAATAAAGAATGGAGCGGAGGGTGTGAGAGGGACAGAAAACTATATCGTTTAAATGGAGCAGAGTTCGCAATTTTTTATTATATATATCTTTCTTGCATCGTTTCATAATGTCATAATGTGAAGTTTACATTATTGATATAGAACACGTTTTCTCATAAAGTTTTGAATAAATAACATACAATTTATCTACTTAAACCGCCATTTCATCCTCCTTTTATCCTGAATCCCGGATTAGTTGCCGTGAATCCTGCGTATTTATATACGAACTGGCCTAATTCGTGATCTTTACGGGTGATCTGTCCTTATCATAATACCTCGGAGAAAAAATTTTAATACTACCACGTGTGAAACGTCACACATAGTAGTTATTCATATGTCGTTACGCTTGGCAAGCTTGTGTGGTGGTGTAGGCGGATACTGTGCGCGGATAGAAAGAACAAATGGAGGGATTGTAGTCAGCCTTGGCATCGCACCTCTCGTAACGTAAATCTCTTTGTCACTACCGGACGTTTTAATAAAAATGACACACGAGATTGTGCTCTCTATATAGGAACCGATTAATCCCATTATTACGATTATTCATTTTTTTTTATACATCCATGTCTTCATATCAAGATTAATATGATTTTGTGTTAGCACATTGAAATTGATTTTTGTTCTGCATCTTGATTGTGAAAAATAATTATTTGAGATGCAACAGGCAATTGTTGAGCAAAATATTAAACAAAATTATTTTTGATTTATCTACAGAAACGCTAAATCATTTAATTCTCACGGAATGAGATATCGGCTCTTGTTTATCATGTCTTGCTGCTGTGTTGATTAATTGCTAGTCGTGTAATTGATATGTAACCTCAGATCGGAAGTAAAGTTTACATCAGAAAGTGTTTAATATTTAAGATGTACAATGTTAGGAAATTTATAATTCGATAGCGATTGCTGTAAAATATTACTATTGTGTTTAAAACAACTTCGTGAATTATAATTTTAATACGATCTACCGGAAACCACCTTCTTTAATTGTGTAAGATCAAAAAATGAATAATCAATAATGAACTGAAAATGGAGCGAATAAAAAAGGCATATGCGTTTACATGTTTATACGTAAATCCTAGAATTATAATACTCTAAAATTTAATACACACAGTACATATATAGTAATATTTTTCAATCACCAGAGGCAACATGTATAATCTTTATTTGCAAATAAGATAATAATTAATTCTAATTAAATAGATTCAATGATTTTTAATTATCATAAATGTTACAAATGTTCTTGCCCGAATGAATCTAGAAACTTGTCGCAAGTATCCGAGGAAAAAAATATTAATTTAACATCAAATGTAATAACTGCCTGTCACATTATATTATGCAAGTATTTATTACCGTTTACTTATTATAGATATAAAAAGAGAGCTGAAAAATTGAATAATAATTGTGTACGGTGTCTCTATATGAGAAAAATCGAGACGCAAGACGTAAACACTAAATGACGTATCTTACACATATGTATGTATACTACATATACCGTATAAATTCCCTAAGTAATTTATTGACATTAGATAGCAATAATATTGACGGCCTACAAGATACTTAATCACAGGAACTGTAATTATTCTACAGTATTGCATTCACATACATAATTTTTTATGTATTTATATTGCGTCGCTTGCACAATATTAATATAGTTAAATTAATAGAAATGTGCATATCTTTTATACATTTCATAACTGAACGTTAATTATGTTTGTAATGGATACACGACGATTTTGTATGTAATTATTTTGACATTTATGTAATTCACGTACATTCGTCTATTTATAATATATTTATTATTGCTAAATTTTTGTCAAGTAACAAAATTTGATTTTGAATGCGCATAGTTTTCTAAAAGATAATTTAAAAATGCAAAACTGCAACAGAATGACATAATTAACGATCGTAAGAAACTCTGCGCTTTTATTTGCGCTGAAATAAAAAGATCGGATGGAACAGCGGTTTAAGTACTAAAGCTAACGTAACAGAGTAACCAAATGAGTCACATCGCAAAGTACATAAGATTGCGATGTGATTCATTCGGTTATTTTATGCAGTCGTCCGTTATCTGTTATGCAAAATGATCATAAATGCAATGTATCGGTACAGATATGGGCTTCTTTGCGATCGTTACATGAATTCTCGATCGTCGTAAGAATTCTACCATTGTCTCTTTGGTGAGACATGCACACACAAAAACTTAATGCCAATGAAATAAATAAATAATTAATTAATGTAGTTGGCAATATTCATGTATATAATATTTAGTTACTAAAAAAAAAAAGAAAAGAAAAAATCAAGTATTATTCAGAGTTGCAGCGGCAGGGAGGCGTTCCTGAATAGATTATAATACTTTGTCATTATCGCATATCAATGAAAATGCACGAGATAAGATCCTCGCGGGAAAACCAGAAATAGAATATCCGGTAAGTAATATTTAATAACGGATAGCGAGAACTTCGACATTTTTCAGATTCTTTTTCAGGGATAAATCTCGAATCGTTATGCATATATGTACGTATACGCAAAATACTATAAGTACGTTTACTTTGCGCCGCGCAGCATTCGCTGATGACATCCATGATGGAAAACAAATCGCGTAATCAGGTCAATTTGCACAATAAACACGGGCAACGTCCTTTTAATTGCATTACGATTAAATGGCTCTTTGCCCGCGACAAAAGCATTACTAATCGCGAGATCTCTCGGCAATAACCTTATTTAATCCTGTTTAAGTCGTACGCTCGAAAGTATTAGATTGCACAACTAATCGCACCCGTCTATCAGAATTGTGCTGTTGTAAATCCGTTATGCAAACAAGCACCTATTAATTAGACGACGTTTTTATCGGCTGATTCAAGATAAAACGTCGCTCAAACGCCGTTTATTTCTGCCGTGAATTTTTCATATTGAAATTCGATTCCTGAATATTCGATCAAAGAATGCGTATTCTCCGTAAGAATTCACGCGATGTGTGAATTGTAAGTTTCTGATAAGTACAGATAGGATGTGTCATATATAAGATTTTACGGAATATTAGCGAACGGTTATTGCCTTAAATGATACTACAATGAGCTCGTTGATGCACATGCAGATCCGTGCATAGTTCCAAGTGTATCAATGGAACCCTATTACTGATAACCACGGATCTCGGTCCCTAATCAAATTTAATGGAAAGATAGCCTGGGGGAGAATACTCGCTCGAATTATGTGTCGCCGGTAACGACCCCTAATCCCCGAACATCCTTCTCACACCGTCAGTATACAGTTGGATGTAGTACGTTAAGGGGACGAAGCACTTACGTCGTACGTATCTTCCAGTGAATTCACGAGAAACCGACGAACGTCTAGTCTTCTTGGCGAGCAAGTAAATAGGCTAATAAGTAGAATAAAAATAGTTACTTTTATCGAGTGCACGCGGCGATTTATTTCGAGTGTGTTGTCGAACGCTCGCTCATTCGCAGTTATACACTCATCTTCTTTTTCATCACACGAGACCACGTGTTTTGACGTTCAATTAAAACTTTCTCCTTGTCGGTTCCTAAGCGAATCATTGAAATAATTTAATCGTAAGCCTTATAAGTTAAATACGTACGTTTAATGGAAAAGTGTCCCTTAATGAACTTCATCAAAAATGCATGACTATTCGAGCAAAATAAATAACAAGTTAATCTTATCATATCATATTTGATTGCAATTGTTGCCTTCGAAATAAATGAGATCAATCTTATCTAACAATAAATATACATCTAAATATTTGTTAACTACATTTTTCTTGTTAAAATATGAATGTAAACGATATTTAGATGATTATTCTTTTTTATCAGTTTTAGTGATTATGAGATATAGATTAGATACTCCATCAGTATTAATTATAAATGTATTATTTTTTAAAT